ATTTTGACTGATTTCTGCCCCTTAGATTTTTGAATTTTTAATCTTGATTTTTTGTTTGTGAAATAGAGCTATTAATTAGGGCCTGGAAAAAGATAGTGAATTTCTTTTTGATCTTGGTCAAGGATTCCTTAGAATACTAACTTGGAATTCTTGTAGAGTAAAGGAAATAAAAAGCAGTTAGCTTTATGAGAACTCAAAAGTTAGCTCTCATTTTATTTATTTTTTTATTATCTTCTGTATCCTTATTTTATGACAACTAGAAATGTTGATAAATCGTCATTAGTTTAGTATTTCTGTTCATTTTTCTTCATATCTAAGTTTGGTTTAAAGATTTTAATTTATCTGATATGTAATTTTATTAAATTATTTAATTCATTTAATTTTCATTAAATTCTAATTTTAATGTTATGTAGTACAAGATGGTTTATGATATTTTCATTAAAATTATACCTTCTATTAATGTAAAATGAACTTTCATCATGATTCTATTTATTTACTTTTGCCTTAAATTAATTGATCTGACATATCACAACCTAGGTTCTGTTGTTCATCTTCTGTAATCCTTGTTGTTGTTATTGTTGTTGTTGTCGTTTGAGATGAAGTCTCACCATGTTGCCCAGAATTCAAATATCACTGAATTCTATTCATAGAATTCAAATGTCATTGTCTATCATGGTCTCAAACTCCTGGGATCAAGTGATCCTCCCAGCTCAGCCTTATAAGAGCTGGGCCTACAGACAGATAACACCCCATCTGGCTCATGCTCTGTAATCTTGATATTTAATTTTGGGTGTTTTTCTTGGAGCAACACATAGTTGATTTTTCCTTTTATCTCGATTGGCAATAAATGTAAATCAATAAATGATGTATCTTTTATATTCCTTAGTCATCTTCATGTAATTTTTAAATTCTTCCTTATTAATAATTAATAGCATTTACTACACATTTTATTTCTTTAAATCTTTACTAGTATTTTGAAATTTGCATATTCTGTTTTTAATTTTACCAATAGTTACTTTTACCAGTTTATAAACACCCCTTTCTAATCTGTAGCTATTTGTCAGAGGTGGGAGTGGAATAGTGGGAACTGATTTTCTGGATCAAGTTGATAGACTGCACATATTAGTTATGCTCTTGTCTCAACCTAAGCTCCATTAAAATAGGTTAGGGACATATGAAAATGACAAGAAAAGGGAAAGGGGAGTTAAAGATTACCAACAGACATGTGATTTCTTTAGTTTTCTGGAAGATGTAAATTAATGTTGGAAGGCTGAAACCACAGCCCAAAATGTGCTATAAAGAGGCCATAGTGACTTGGAGAGTTTTCTCCATGGTAGAACCCCACAGAGACTTAATCTTAGACTTACTATGCAATACTAAGAGCAAAAGTAATAAGACTGAATGCATTAGGTGAAGCAGTAATTGAAGGTCGATATACAAAACAGCCTTGATAATAGACCCCACCCACATATCCTCCCTTTCAGAATAGACTGGGAGGAGGGCAGTCAGGTATATCTGCCCCGGGGTGGCGGGAATCTCTTTCCTAAAGAAATTTAATGAAATCGGGACTTCAACATGATTGTTGGCTCTGGAACAGGGACTAGAACTCTTTATGTAAAGTATCAGATGGTAAATATCTGAAGATTTTCAGGCCATATAAGACTATTATTTGTCTTGCTGTTATAAAAAGTACCATCAATTAGATAATTTATATATAACAGAAATTTATAATCATTCACCACATAGTGACATTTCAGTGAACATAGTACCACAGATACAGCAGTGGCTATGCTGTGTAGTCAAGGTATGCAGTAGGCTCTATCTTTTAGGTTTGTGTAAATACACTCTATGATATTTTCTCAAGAACAAATTTCCTAACACATTTCTCAGAATTGATAAGCAATGCATGGCTCTATTTTCTCACAGTTCTAGAGAGACAGGGAAGTCTATGATCAAGGGGCCAGTAGATTCAGTGTCTGATGAGAGCTGCTCATCTTCCAAGATGACCCCTTGTTGCTGTGTCCTCTGGAGGGAGGAGCACAGTGTCCTCTCATGACAATGAGAGTAGAAGGGCAAAAACTCTGAACGCTGTATGCACCCTCTTTTTTAAAGGCCTTAGTCCCTGTGATCTTCTAAAGGTCCCAGTTTAAAATAGTTGATAGATTTTTGGAAGAAGCACAAACATTCAAGTCATAGCTGTTTTTGTGCTATATCCCCATGTGTTTTTTTTTTTTTAATTTTGGGGTTTTTTTTTTTAGTTGTCAATAGACCTTTATTTTATTTAGATGTGGTGCTGAGAATGAAACCCAGTGCCTCACACATGCTAGGCAAGTGTTCCACCACTGAGCCACAACCCCAGCACCCCCATGTATTTTTTAATGTTTGTTTGGCTTTTATGGCTCTTTAAAATGTTTTTAAAAACATTCTTAGCTCAAAGGTCATACAAAAACAATCTGGCTTGTGGTCTGTACTTTGCTGTAGAAGAAGCTCCTTCTCATTCTGTCATCTGATAGTTCTGCAGTCTGCTAGCTGGCTCCTTATAGCTTTTCCTGAAAATAAACCTGCCAATCAAATGTTCTACCAGGTACACAGAGTACCTAAGCCTACTTCCCACTCAGAATTTGAGGTGTACTGGGAAACAGATGTACTTACATAACATCAGAGGAATACACACCTCTTGCTGGGAATGAATAGTCAACCAAGAATAAACAACCAAGACATCTGAGCACACAACCAAGGCTTAACAGATATTTGAGGAAAATCAACTTATTGGAGCAATAAGACCAAGATAACAATTACTGATCCTGGAAGTAATGTAATGCAGGGAGCTAAAGAGATCCTGGAGTATATTGTGAGAGATATAACCAGTATGTTGTGAAAGATTTGAGATGCTGTTGCTTTCCTTAAACAAGAAAAGCTGTAGAAAATGAATAAGAGAACAAAGAACTCTTTATAGATGAAAAATATTACTAACATCTTAAAAAAGGTCAATAACAGGGATACAAAGTACAGTTGAAAAATGAAAGAATTCCCCACGCAAAGACACTTCGCCGGGAGAATTCCAATTTTATTGCAAAAAGCAGTGTGCTTATATAGAACTAAGGGGGAGATGGTAGGGCTTAGATAAATGGCAGGCAACCCATTTATTGGCAAGTTCTTTCAGATATCAGCTCCGGAGCCCAGGAATTAGTTCTCATTGGGGCTAAGGTTCCCCGCCAGCGAGATTTGAAATTGGCGCCGGTGGGAGAGTTCACACGGGCGGGAACTTTTCGCGCCACTGCAGAAAAGAAGAAGGTAGGAAGAAGAGGTGCTTAGGCGCCATGTTGGGGTTTTTTCTCTGGGGTATGGCTGCCCTTTATACTTTTCCCAACAAAAAACCCTTCTAGGGGCTAGGGCTGTAGCTCAGTGGCAGAGCATTTGTCTGGCCACTGAGTTCTATCCTTAGCACCACATAAAAATAAATAAATAAAATAAAGGCATACTGTCTATTTGCAGCTACCAAAAAAGTAAAGATAAATAAATAAATTAAAAAGAAACCCCTCTGGAACATTGTTTAAAAAAATAGAAAGAAAATATGACAAAATACAGAAGTGAAGGAGATAAACCTAGAAATTATAGAAGTTTTATAATGGAAGGAAATAAACTATTAAAACAAATAATAGATGAATTTTCCAAGATGTAAGGAACATAAGCCTTCAAATAGGAAGGGCCCAAATGGCTGTCTAGCACTATTTGAGAAAAATTTTTGAGGATAAGGCTAGGTAACATTCTCATAAAATTTTAGAACCCTGAGCAAAAAATAGATCTTAAATACTTCAGGGGAGGGGACAAACTAGTAACTTAAAAAGTTTTAATGATTAGATTGGCATCAGACAGACTTCTCTGGATACTGAAAAAAGATAGTGTGCATATCTAAATTATTTTCAGTGTAAATCAACATGACTAGCCCAATACTCTCATTTAGCTGTGAAGACAAAAGAAAAATGTCTGTAGTCATGAAGGAACTTAATGTTTTTGCTGCACCCTGTTTTAGGGAGTTGGTTGATGACGGACTCTAGCAAAAACAAACAAACAAACAACAACAAAAAACAGAGGATGTAGGAAACTAGAATCGATCCAGAAAATCACTGAAGGGAAATTTTTGGAAAGATAGTTGCATTCAGATACAATTTTAGAGAATATTCAATTCAAGTTTGAGCTTTGGAAGGGATGTTTCAGAAAACAAGATGACTACATGAAATAAATAGCATGATTAAGAAACTAATATTTGTTATACTATGATAAAGCACATTATTCTTTAGCCTCCCCTTCAAAAAGAAAGACAATATAAGAAAAAGTTGTATAAGAAAAACATAGTACAAATATATGCGAATTAAAATGTGATATGATTTTAATCATCTTACCAAGTTTGAGAAAAGAGAATCTATTTTATTTTGCTGCTTGGAATATTATAAGTGGTATCATGATATGAAATAAGAGGAGACATTATTCTTATGTACTTCTTGGATCTGTCATGAATGATAATTATATAATAATAATAATATAACTACTTCTATTGCTTTTCAACTTTTAGAGTAAATTTAGAGACAAGGTACGAAAGACTTTATTAGGGTTATGGACCAAAATGTAAATGTTAAATTTACATTTAATGTTAATATTCATGATATAAGAATCAAGATATAGCTAACGAAGAAGGGAGTAGGAGGAGAAAGATAGAAGGAAGGCTAATGGCACAATTGATTGTTTCACATGATAAAGAATCAGTCTGTGAACTGATCTGGCCTGTATTAAGACATGGTACATTGGTGGACTTAACCAACTGGGGATCTAAAATAGTTTAAAAAATTGTTGCATCTATACTGAACGTGGACACGTCTTTTTCTTGTTATTATTTCCTAAACAATGTAGTATTATAACTATTATATAGCATTTACATTGTATTAAGGAATGTCTACCACTAAGCCACATCTCTAGCCCTTTTATTTTTTATTTTGAGACAGGGTCTCACTAGGCTTCAAACTTGTGATCCTCCTGCTTTAGACTCCAGAGTTGCTGGGATTACAGGTAGGCACCACTTTGCCCAGATAGAAATGATTTAAAATATATCAAATATATGATTATTTGCATTTACTTTAAGTTTCCAGCTCAAGTCAACCATAAATCTACCCTCTAGCCATATAGATTTGATTTTCCTAGACATTTCATATAAATATAAATGGCTTCTTTCACTTAGTGCATGTTAAAACATGAATTAATATTAAAAAAAGCTAATACAAAATTCCTTATTATTGCTAAGTAGTATTCCATTGACTTGCCATGGAACATTTTGGTTATTCATTCATCAGTTACAGACATTTAGATGATTTCCAGTTTGGGACCTTTATGAATACAGCTGTTCTAAACATCTATATACAGGTCTTTGTGGGATATACATTTGCATTTCTCTTGGATGCATTTATATGATAAACTTATGTTTAACTTTTTAAGGAATTCTCAAACTATTTTCCTAAATAGTAGTCCCACCAGCAATGTATGAGTGCTCTAGTTCCTCCATGTCCTTGTCAGAACTTGTTATTGTCTATCATTTTTGTTTAATCATTCTTGTGGGTATGAAATTGTATCTTGTGATTTTTAATATTAATTTTTCTAGGGGCTAGGGTTGTGGCTCAGCGGTAGAGCACTCGCCTAGCACATTTGAGGCCCTGGGTTCACTCCTCAGCACCACATAAAAATAAATAAATAAAGATATTGTGTCCAACTAAAAAATAAATATTAAAAATTTTTTTCTAATAGCTATTCCTTTACTTGTTTAATTTCAACAATACTTGAAAATCATCCTTGATTTTTCTTTATTTCTTACCATACTCATCTATTTTGTGGTTGCACACCTTAGTATTTTTAAAATTACCCTTCTCTATTATCTTAATTCCTATTGCTTTGTTTGTTCACTATTCTTGATGATTAAAATAGCTTCTAAACTGCTTTCTCTGATACCATTTCCTCTGTAGGTTCCAATCTATTTTCCATACTTCCATCAAAATGAATTTCATAAAATGTAGATACAACCATGTCACTCCTTTGCCAAGAACCTTTCAAAGGCTTCTCAATGCCCTGCAGATAAAGTCTACATATGGACTCTGCTTGCCTCATACATACTACCTATTCTTGCCACTTTTATCCCCACTACCCCACTTTTTTATAAACCTGTGTAGTCTCCGTATACACATACCTTATACATATTTTGGCCCGTGATCTATCTATAATTATCTGATTACCTTGGAACTTTTTTCTTCTTTTATCTGACTACCTTGGAACTGTTTCCTCTATCTGGAATGTTTATCCATCTCTGTTTACAAACTCTCACTCATTTTTTTAAGGTTAAACACAAATAATTGTACATCTTGGAATCTTTTCCTGATTTTCCTTAACAGTTAAACTGTGTGTGTGTGTGTGTGTGTGTGTGTGTGTTAATGTAGTGGTAAACATGTTTGTGATAAGATTACATTGAATCATAAAAAATTTTCCTTATTCTAAGTAAAAATAAGGTATATATGAATTTCTGTGTGAGTTAGCTTTCTGTCTTGGTGAAAAATACCTGAGAAAATCAAATTAAAAGAGGAAAGGCTTATTTTGGCTCATGGTTTCAGTCCATGGTTGGTGGCTCCATTGCTTTTGGGCCTGTGGAAAGGCAGAACATAATGTCAGGGAGCACATAGTGGAGCAAAGCTGCCATTTCGTGGTAACTGGAGAGCAGAGAGAAAGAGAATGGGATGGAGTCCCACATCCCCTTCAAAGGCATTCCTCCATGACCTAACTTCCTTCAATAGGCCCTATATCGCAAAGGTTCCACCACCTCTCAATGGCACCATCAGCTGTAGACCATGCTTTCAGCACATGAGTCTTGGGCAAACAGTTAAGATCCAAACCTTAACAAGGAGTCAGCCTAAAATATTTTTGCAGTTACTTGTTTTTGTATCTGTTATTCTCCAATCTAGCAAGAGACTGTCATTTGTTTAAGGGCAATAGGCCACCTAGTGCTGTTTGTTGACAGGTTAACAGAGAAATTATTCTTAAATACCAAGGCTTGCATTTAGAGTGAAATGTTGCTCTTTAAAGTCATTATATTTTCTACTTTGGAGTCACTTGGCTCCAAAGGCTGTTTATATGCATTGTGTCAAAAATAACTCAGTATAAAACTGTCATGATATATCTCTTAATAAGTACATCTTCAATGTCATGGATAAAGTCACAGATTCACAAATTATTTCTCATGTGCAGTTTAGTAGTCATTTCTGTGTTAGTAGACAACATAATAGTTTCATAGTTCAAGTAAAATAACAAAGGATACTGATTTTTCATAAAACAAAACATCATTTTGCTGGACATGGTGGTGTATGCCTGTAATCCCCGTGACTTGGAAGACTAAGGCAGGAAGATGGCAAGTTCAAGGCCAGCCTGAGCAACTAAGCAAGGCCCTGAGCAACTTAGTGAGACCCTGTCTCAAAAAAAAAAAAAAAAAAAATAGGGCTGGGGGTGTGCCTCAGTAATTAGGCCCCTGAGTTCAATCTAATATCAGAAAACAAAACAAAACAAAATAAAAATATCATTTTGGAATTCTCACACCATAAGCTAAAATGACTTAAGTATGTGTGTATATATACATATATAATGATTATAGCTATATAAAATTTGCCATTGAATGTGGGAGATAATATATGGTAATGAAAAGAAATGTTTTCAGAGTATGAATTATGAGTTTATTTTGATACTTTTTTTAAAAGAACAAATATATTAGTTTTTGTGTTTTACATCAGTCAAGTAGTGATATTGTCTGAATTGTGGCTTTAGAAAAGATAACCATTTAAATACTTGACATAATTTAGATAGCTATATCTAAGAACCCTGTACTTCATTTAACAAAATTATAGTTTTAGTCAATATTTTAAAATATTTTTAAAATTTAACTTTCCTTAAGGGACATGTAATAGCTTTGCCATAGTTTTAAAGTCATTATATTGTTATCAGTAGTAGGTAAGTTCAATAATTATATTTTAAATCAGACATGGGGTTATAAGTTCTATTAGAGCTATTATCATCTTTCAGTTCTATAAATTCTTCAAGTCATCATAAATAAATTTTATATGGTATATAAGGAAACTATTTTTTTTTTTTAAAAAAAGCCTTGTGGAACAATTGTCCATTAGCTCCACATAAAAATTCCTTTTCTTTACAAACTTAGATAGTACTCTTGAATTATCCAGACATGCCAAGGTAAGTAAGGAGTCTAAATAATGTGATTTAATTCATAACTTTAAAACACGAACAGTGATTTGGAAGTACAGCTTAGTACAACTCTTTTTCTAAGTAAAATTCTGCCCCATTTGTGACTCTGAGCATGTAGACTGAAGAGTAGCTTTCTTAGTGGTGCCTGACCTCTGGGTACACCTTGGTCTATCTGCCTCGCTCTGGTTCACACTGCAGCCATATAAATCAGTTTTTTGACATGTTATAAAATGTAAGTCACAGCTGCTATAGTTTACAGTATTCAAAAATTTTGCAACACTGCATGTCTAAATTTATTTTTTTAATGAATATAAGTTTTTATTGAGGTAAGCCCTTTTTGTTTGGAAAAAAGAAACTCCAAAGGAGAATTTCAAATTAAATAGTTTTAATATGTATATACACTCTTTCTCTCTCCCTCTTTCTACCCCCTACCCACTCTCTTTCTCTCTGCTTGTGTAAAAAAGAAAGAAAGGGAATGATTGGGTTTGGGAGAAGACCTTGGAATTACACCTGTATAATAGGAAGTTGTAGATTAAGATTTCTGTTACAAAATCTTTATGCTTAAGTCAGAAGTAAATAGATTTTATAAAAAAGAATTAAGAAATTGTAATCATTATGTAAGTATAAATGCTTCATCTCTTCAAATTTATTTTAATTCCTTGTTTCTGTTATAGCAGAAAACTTCAAACATAAGCATGCCTCTTTAGCTACTTGGCTTTACCAGATGCCCAACATTTTTTAAAGAAAGGCATGTGTAGATTGATAAATGAATGTGCAAGGTATGGTAAACTCAAAAGTGCTTTTAATAGTTCTAAAGAAATTTTAAAAATTTTAATGCTGTTGGAGATTTTTATATTCCCTGTTTGACCATTTTCAATAAATTGAAAAATTGGAAGCTACTGATTCTACTAAAAGTTAGATTATTAATAAATAGGCTTTATGAAAAAGCAAAAAGTTCAGGTCATTCAGTTTCATTACTACCATATATGTTTCATTTTCTCATATAGTACATTACTACATTAAAATGTTTATTAAAAACCAGCATTAGAACAAAAAGTTTTAAGATTAAATTATATTATTTTAGGAAATGATTTGTATTTAGTGCACTTATACTTTATAATGTTGATCCTTTGGTTTTATCTGCACAGATTTTTTAATCGATATATTCAAAACATAGCTATCTAACTAATTTTGTCACTCACAAATAAATGACTTACTTTCAACATTTAAAGAGTATCACTATTAGAATATTTGATGTAACTCCCTCAAAAGAATATTTTTTCTTAAATTATTAATTTTAAACTATTTTAGGTGCTGTTTTTCAACCCTAATCTTCTGACCAAGGATGAAACTATTTAAAAATTAAGATGCCAACAGGTAATTTCTTCTGTTTATACTTTTGTCAATGTGTGTTATTTAGAAATAGAACAACAGATGTACATTAACACAAGATTATATTGTTCCTTATCTAAAATCCTCCCCAAAATATGAAATATTTTAGTTTTGAAATACTTTCCTATATAACATAAAACTTTTATTTTGGGTTTATGTGTTTTATTGTTCTTTACAAACTGACCAATTCTAGCTTACTCTGTATCTAATATCAACTTCCCAAATAATAAGTAAATTTGAAACCAGAGCAAAGAATGAAAATAGATTCAGAGATAGTGATTCAGGTTGGATGAGTTTTTTTTATTGATATAATATGTGATATTATTTCAGTAAATATATGTCTGGATATAATTAGTTAAAAAGGACGTTACTTTCAGCTGTGATAAAGTTAATAGAAAATCATATGGGATGATTTCCATGATTCTGATGTAATGTAGTTTTAACTGGGATTTTGTCAACCAAATTATTCCTGAAAAATTGTATAGATTATTAAAAGTTGTTTAATTTTAAAGAAGCATGCATTGTGTAAAAAAGAAAAAACCTTAAAGTATTAGTTTTACCTGGTTTACTTTCTTTTTCTTCAGTTCTTTGTAGTTCTATTTCTGTCTTTACATTTTTGTACTTTTATGGTTATAATATGCTGAAATAGGTTTTTCTCAATTCTTAAGTAAAAGGAAAGTTTCAAACTTTCAAATTCTGATTGTGAAGACATCTGGATCATAGTCGTTATCATTTATATATATATATATATATATATATATATATATATATATATACACACACACACACACACATACATATATATATATATGGTGTAGATGGACACAATACCTTTATTTTATTTATTTATCTTTATGAGGTACTGAGGATTGAACTCAGTGCCTCACACATGCTAGGTAGGTGCTCTATCACTGAGCTACAGTCCCAGCCCCAACAATTATATCTTAACAGGTATCAATATCTTAGTGGCAAAAATGTTAGAGAAAGTTTTTTTTTAACTAGTAAACTATCTTTAAATGCCAAACTAAATGCTAAATGAGAGAATTGTCATTGTCTGCTTCACATTAGATGATTCTAAGTAATTTTTAGACAATCAAGAACTACCAAGATAAAATTTTAAAAGCAGTATCATTCTCCTTTTAAAGCCAAAAGATAAAGTTTTCAGGAATTTCCTAATCACAAAGAGTAGTATAATGACCCAATAAATTTGACTATAGTTACTTCTGATTTTTTCTATACTGTTGTGGTCAAAAAATAAACTTTTTGTAAAGAGATGGTGGGGGTGGGAGTGGGGTATGAGGCTGAGTCTAGAAGGAAAGAGAAATACCAATGAGAGAGGGAAGGCAGAGAGAGGAAGAAAGATAAAGGAAAGATCAAAGATAAAGAGTGAGGAAAAGAAAGAGGAAAGAAAGAAGGAAGTGACATGGAGAAAGAGAAGGGAGAGAAAGGAAGCAAGAGGAGTGGAGGGTTATTTTCTTATTATTCTGAAAGTTTTGGCTATATGTTAAGCACAAACTTAGATTTTTAGTTTTACTTTAGGATTTTAGTCTTTTCAGTTATTAGCTTTTACCTAAAGTTCCCTTGCAAATAAAAACCTTATGAGATTATATTTTATTTTTCATGTTTGACTTTGGTTGTCATACAAGAGGAATATTTTAAGATAAATTTGGAAGCAAAATTTATTTCAATTATCTAAATTTTTTCCTATCACAATTTCAGATTTTAAATATTTGAAACATCAAAGGAAAAAGAAGAATTTAAATGCAACCTTAGGACAGGAAAGCTCTAAGTAATACTGTAAAATCTTGGTGGTAAATGAGAAGGACCTGTTTATTCTATGATCCTAATCACTGCCTTTTAATCTAACTAATGCAGAGATTTCTTATTTCTGTTATGTAGCTTCTAAATCCGTTATAATTAACAACCGTATCTGTAAGATGGATTCATTTTTCTCTCAAAGTGATAGATTTTTCTTTCAAAGTGACTATGAAATAAGAAATAAGATTCTTTCATTTTGAGGAAAAGTTCCTCATTCTAATTTTTAGTATTGCTGCTTCATTCTAAGACTGGTTATTCCTGTTTCTGATTGCATCAGAAGTATTTTAATATGCTTTCCTCTGTTCCATATGCATGTGTGTTTTAGATCACGAGGAGCCCTGTGGTCCCAGTTACAGGTCATTTTGCCTGAATGGGGGGATTTGTTATGTGATACCTACTATTCCCAGCCCATTTTGTAGGTGAGTGAAATGGACTGGGGGAGAGGGTAATTTTATTTCTTACAAACTTATTTGAGAAGTGAGAAAAAGTAAACAAAAAGTGTAAGAAATATATATATATATATATATATATATATACACATTTACATATATATACATATATTTACATATATATGCGCATTTACATATATATGTAAATGTAAGAAAATATGATAAATATTCTTCGTGTTTTTATTATTTTTAAAATAGGCATTGGTAGTTTCTAGCCATATAGAGTATTGAAAATAATCCATTTTAATGAACTCTGAGTTTTAGCAATTTAGGGAAGGCAGTTTATGTTTAATATTAATAACAAAACAACTAGAGAATTCATTAATTAAAAATCCCAATATGAGACACATTGTTTTGAATTTAGACTGAGTTGGTACTAAAACTTATACTTGGTATATTAAAAAGAAAGTGAAAAGTTAAGTTTTTCTAATGTTGGTACCAAATCTTAACCACTATTGTTTTAAAATAACATTATTTGGGGAGTACAGACATAGCAGAAAATCAGTAAAATGATTCAAAATAGTATTTGTATAGTACTTCCTGTGAGTTTAATTGACTAGTATTTTTTTTGAGAGAGAGAGAAGAGAGAGAGAATTTTTTAATATTTATTTTTCAGTTTTTCAGTGGACACAACATCTTTATTTTATTTTTATGTGGTGCTGAGGATCGAACCCAGCACCCTGTGCATGCCGGGCGAGTGCGTTACCGCTTGAGCCACATCCCCAGCCCCTTAATTGACTAGTATTTAAGGGCATTAAAAAAAAAACAAAAAACCTTTTTTAGTACATGAGCTAGGCACAAAGAACTATCACTGAGGCCTATAGATTTTGTGGAGTAACTCCTTACAACCTCAATATATTTTATAACTTGTTTGAATTACTTGTTTGCTCTTTAACTGAAATGAGAAGTATAGAATATAAATTTAAGATTTAAGTTCTTATTGAATACAAGGATAGAAAAGTCAAATTTATGGGAAAAGTTAAAGATATTGGGATCTGGTTTAGAGGAGAGGAGAGAGGTAAGTAACGTCATTCTTATCTGGAAGTTTTTAGTGAACTCTGAGTTTTAGCAATTTAGGGAAGGCAATTTATGTTTAATATTAATAACAAAACAAAAAGTTTTTAGGGGTTTTTCATATTGGGAACAGTATTCATATTGGGAATAATGCCTAGTGTTTTTTTTTCCTCAAATGACCGTATAAAGGGAAGGGGGAGGAGGAACAGACCAACAATTACTCAACATCCACCATGTTTTTTAAAAATCTATCTTACCAAGATATAATGCATGTATGATAAACTACACTTGTTTAAACCACAAATTGAATTTTAGCAAACGTCACACCCATGAAACTGCCACAACTTCCACTTCAAGATATAGAACATATTCAATGCCCCCCCCACCCAAAATTTTGTTGTTGACCCTGTTCTTTATTTATATTTTAACACTTTATTCTCAGCAACCTTAGAGGAAGGAGGCAGGGGAAACTTAAGAAATAGAAAAGTATGTAGAAAATGAGAATTTAAGTGAATTGCTAAAGGTCATATTTTTTTGACCCCAAAGACTGAATCCTTTTTCCCTCTCAGAATGGTGGAACCAATAATAAGACCAAGCGCCAATGAGCAGCAAAGAAGACTTTTATTCTTGACCAAAAATATGAGAAGTGCAAGATAACACTTGCAAATCAACTTTTCTCAGGGTTCAGAAGGTTGTAGATACAGGGCACAAGAAATGAGGGAGAAGGGTAAGGTAATGCTGGGGAGGAATGTTCAGGTATTCTATTATAATGAAGTTCCAACCTACTTTATCTAGCCCAGCAGAGGAGGAACTTCTAGTCTTGTCATCAAAAATGTTTAGGAAGGATAAAAACTAGGCCACCTAGGCAGTCATCACCAGAGTAGGGAAGCAATACAGCTAGGAAGAAGAAAGGAATGACCTTTAGATTCAACTTTCAAGGTGTGTTTAACCTTTTAATACATTTATACTGCATCCTTTCTAAGGGGACATGGCACATGGCATTTATACAATGAAATTATAATGCTTATCAGAAGATATATATTTAATAATTAAAATATACTATAGTTTTTTTTGTCTTGATCTTGGTGGTGACAACATGGGTGAAAAGACTGTTCTTCTTTATTGAATTGCCTTTGTACCTTTGTCAAAACTTAATAAACCAAATATGTGTGGGTCTATTTATGGATTATTCTGTTCTGTTGATTTTTTTCTGTCTTTTCACCAACACCGAATAGTTTTGATAATTATAACTTTATGATGAGTGAATTGTGTTCTGTGATTCTAAACCCTATTTTGGGGGTTAGGGAAAGGGATGTTCATTGGTCTTTGGCCTTCTTTTCTAATAGATAGTGTGTATTGCTTAAAAAAATATCAAAATAGTTTAGTGTCATCCTTAAAGAGACTATAGTTGTTGAGTTTTAAGTTTAAAAAATTTGTGCTGTTATGATTTTTTTATTAGCCAATGGGTTTTTTGTTTTTTTTTTTAAGTTTATTTAGCTCACAGTTTTTGAGGTTGAAAGTCCAGGATCCTGTGGCCCCATTGGTTTGGCCTCTGGGCTCCTTCATTTACATCACAATATGGTGGAGGAGCAGAAAGGGAACCCAGAACATGCAGAAGGGGACCAAGCATGTGGCCTGACTTTATAACAACCCACTCTCATGAGAACTCACTCCGTGAGGCTAGCCTTAATCCACTCAGAGGGTTTGCTCCCATGATGTGATCACCTTCCGTGAGGTCCTATGGGGGATTCTGATTATCCTTTATAGTTATATCTAATTTAATTGCATTGTGATCAGAGTACTTGATACTTCAAGCTGTCTGCACTAAATAAATTGAAAGAATTAGGAGCACTGGGATTTGGAAATTCATTAAATTGGGAAGTTTGTCACTCTGCCTTTGTACCTTGGATAGATGCATTCCTAGTGTACTTTTTAAAAGGTACCTATGAAAGACAATGGGCAACTTGACTGGTAACCCACACCAAATTTAAAAGTCTAATTCTTTCCTAATTTTATATTTTAAGAGGAGTAATTAGGGAGTGGTTGAAAGCATGCCCATAGGTTTTGATGGATAGAGATTGAAGCCAGGTTTCCATGTGGCACAGCCTCAGGAGGTGAGTGGATTGGCATCTTCTGTGTGATCATTAGTGTATCCAAAGAACTGCGTGGCACCCTGGGAGGAAGTGAGGGGCTGGGATTGGGGAACATGAGGAGGACAAAAAGAACACTGAGATAAGGAAGGAATTCAGTGGTTGAGGGTTCAGGAAAATTGAATGGCAGGTTTATTTTAAGTCACATTTTATAAAATGTAATTGCAGCCAGGTGCCGCAGCGCACACCTGTAATCCCAGCTGCCCAGAATTACAAATTTGAGGCCAGCCTCAGCAATTTAGTGAGAAGAGTTTCCCCGCAAAAAGAAAAGTAATTGCTTTCCAGTGATCTTAGGACCATATTTTTAATATAGCTGTATAGACTGTTATAATAATATCTAAGAGTAATAAACTCATTTTCAATGCCAACTCATACATTCATGCACAGGGGTGTTTCTATCAGTGACATCCCAGCCATCTTGTCACTGAGAAATGCAGACTCACCTTTGACTGTATTATTGGTTCCTCATCTGGTTGTCAAATTATAGTTTTTACTTAAGTCTTTGATCTCTCCAGTCCATTCTGTTCTGATTATCATTATACTAACTCAAACCTTCTTAACACCTTGCTTTGGACTTATCATATTAAAAATCCATATAAATAGTCCCCAAATGAGTTTCTCTTGAGCCTAATTCTCATCACTACTCCCACTAAAAAAACAGTAAAACTTCAGTGAGAGTGTTCACACCTACGCATCTACCACCTATGAAATAATATCTCACCTTTTAGTTTAGCTTTTAGAGCCTTTAACAATTGGGCTCCAAACTGCCTTTTGGCCTTCTCTCCTTTTTGGTCTGTGTTCTATTCAAAATCATTTACTATTTTTGTTAGATATATTTTGCATTATGTTGCTTGCCTTGAATTTGTTCTCCTGCCCTTTCTCTATAACTATGCATTTTCCAAATCCTTTTTTATTTTTCAAGGCACCCTCCTCCCTAATTCATTACCCTATCACAATTCAGAATTCATCTGTCCCTCCTCTGAACTGCCACAGAAATATGAGAAATTTATTAATTTTTATTTTGTATCATTTATATACATGGACAAGTCATTCTTATTAGAATATTAACTTTCCTCACTGCATCCCACCACCTAGAATAGTGCTTTTCCCACAGTCAACAACCATGTAAGTACTGTTGACTGAATAGAGAGTGAATTTTTAGAAATAATTTCTTTTTTTCTTTTTTTGGTACCAGGAATTGAACTCAGGAGCACTTGAACTCAGGAGCACTCGACCTCTGAGTCACATCCCCAGCCCTATTTTGTATTTTATTTAGAGACAGGGTCTCACTGAGTTGGTTAGGGCCTTGCTTTTGCTGAGGCTGGTTTTGAACTCGCAATCCACCTGCCTCAGCCTTCCAAGCTGCTGGGATAACAGGCATGTGCCACCACACCTAGCTAGAAATAATTTCATCTCTGAGTCAGTGGTTAGTGTATTTTCTTGAGTGAAATGGGTAAGTAAATTTATAAAATTAGAAATGCTAAAATGGAAATGTACAAGTATGCTTTACAAATTTGATTAATCTCAACATATGTAGAAAGTAATCTTTCCTCTTCATTTTTTTCTTTATTGTACTTTCTTTGAACATATTCTGGTTTTCTTATCTAATTTCATTTATTTTATTAATTAATTTTAAGGTAATATTTTAAAATTACTTGATATTAATTCTTTAGTGTCTGTTGAGATTTGTTTTGAAGACTGGTTATTGACAGTGTTTTAAATGATCTATGTGTACTAGAGAAGAATATAGGTTCTTTAGTGATAAGTCCAAAGTTGTATATTTGTGTATTAGGTCAAGCTTGTTAT